CATTCCCTCCTGTCCCCTCCCCCAACTAGAACATTGCAAGGATTTAAAGAGTGTTTGTTGATTGCCAATCTATATACAACCAGAAGGGGCATCAGAGAGCATTTAGTCTGGCTCCTTAATTTGACAGATAAGGAAACTGAGACCCAGGGAGGTTGAGCCATTTATCTAACATCCCTTAAGTAGTAAGTGGCAGAGGAACCCAGGTCCTCTAACACCAAATTCATCACTCTATCCACAATACTTCACTGGTTTCTGTTGTTGGATTAGTTGATGGAGGCAAGCTCCTGGGGACAATAGTCTTCTTTCAAGACAGCCTTTCAAGAAAGCCGGATTCTAGCTCTGGAGATTTCTGGTTTAGAACTAGTTAACAGGAGAATAGGGTGTGTCAGTTTCCTGGTTCTTAACAGTACCTTCCTAGAAGAAGTGAGAATTTAATCTGGGCTACTCTTAGCACTTAGATTACACAACACTATGAGCTGGCATGCCTATCAAAGGCTCCGAGAGGCTACAATGAATTTTGCACATGTAGAGTGAATGTGTATGTGTGTTTGTGTGTGTATGTGTGTGTGTCTATCCCAGCCCCCCAAGTTCATGTCCTCTTTCAGTCTTCCCTGAGAACTTCCCAGGGTAAGCCTGGGCTCTGCTCTGGTCCTCACCTCTCCTTAGCCCAGTTTAGCATGGAGGTGGTTTCTGAATCACATTCTACAGCAGGGCAAATGCCTCCTTTTGCACAATCAGTGCATCACAGGAAAACCTCCATTTGGTTGTTGCTGGTGATGACAGGACAAAGAGGCTGCTTATCTACTCGGGCAAATGGAACAAATTTTGCACTGATGCTTGCTAGCCTAGCATTAATCTAGCTGACTGAGTGAACTGGATCCTGATTTTGGCAGCCTCTTTATAATAAAATATTGTGTTTATCAGACTCAGCTTGCCAAGCAAGCAGGATGTAGTATCAAGAGCCCTGGAACGAAAGTCAAAGAACCTGGGTTTGAGGTTGGGCTCTTCCATTCCCTTGTTGGGCAACCTTGGTCACCTAATCTCTCTGACCATCAGTTTCTTTAACTGTAAAATAGGGATGATAATATTTGCAGTATTTACTCAACAAGATGGAGGATGTCAGAAAGCTTTAGGTGAGACCCGACAAAGACTAATCCTTCCTAAAACACTTGTATATGAAATTGGTGTTACAGTTAAGTAATAAAAGTGATTTATCATCCCGATGAATAATTTATTTAGCAGTGCATGTGGTGGCAAAGCAAACTGGGTTCAAGGCTCTCAGTAGCCAAGAACCCAGAACTTTGGTTTTTACCCAGTTAATATAGTTTAGAGGGAATGAAAAATAGGGTGAAAGGGTTAAGACACTTGGTTTCTTATTGAAGGAGGGGATATGGAGGTAATGAGGTGAGGGGGAGGGCTGGCTGGAGAGAATTGGGAGACAATCAGGAGACACTGAGGAAAGAAGGAAAAAGGAGTTGTTTTGTGCAATTCTTTAAGTTGGGTGACTCTTGGGAAGGGGGAGTATCCTTGTAACTTCTCCAAACTCAAGTGACTTTGAGACTTAACTTCACAAAAGGTAGATAAAGGCAAAATGGAGTCACCAATGCTATTTCAATATTATATTGGGAAAAGAACAACTAGATAATAGAATACAACTGTCAGTATTTTTATGATGCATTCTCATGACTGATGACAATGGAGCTATGACTTTTGGACCCAACATCCTAGTACACAAGAGTGCTAGATGAAAAATGGCACTTAAGAAAATGAAGCTGGAGACAGCTAGGTGGCGCAGTAGATAGAGCTCCAGTCTTGGAGTCAGGAGGACCTGAGTTCAAATCCAGCCTCAGATACTTGACACGTACCAGCTGTGTGACCCTGGGCAGGTCACTTAACTCTGATCGCCCCCCCCCCCCCAAAAAAAAGAAAAAAAAAAAAGAAAAGGTAAAGCTGAACCAGACCAAGAATTAACAGAAGTCTGTTTTGGAGCAAGACAACTTTGAAAGCTTTAAGGGAACAGGTTTCAAGATCTCTCAGAAGGTAAGACACCAAATCACCGGTAGAAAAAAATCATAGATGGTATTATTAGCAGAAGAAAAGGTGATAGAGAAGATATCAGCAACTACTGGACCATATATCTACTTTCTCATTAATCAGTTAGTTGATCAACAAGCATTTATTAGGCTACTACCAGCGGTAGCTAGATGGCAAAGGAGATAGGGTGCTGGGCCTGGAGTCAGGAAGACCCATCTTCCTGAGTTCAAATCTGGCCTCTGACACTTCTAGTTGGGCAAGTCACTTCATCCTTTTTGCCTCAGTTTCCTCACCTGCAAAATGAACTGGAGAAGGAAACAGCAAACCATTCCAATATCTTTACCAGGAAAAACCCAAATGGGGTCTCAAAGAATCAGACATGACTGAAATGACTGAATAACAACAAGGTGCCAAGTATTGTGCTAGGTAGTAGGGGACAAAAAAAAAAAAGAAATGCTTCCTGCCCTCAAAGAGCTCACATTCTATCAAGAGAGACAAGTCTTTATGAGAATGATCTACATATCCAT